CTACCAAGTGAGTCCCAGGAAAGGCGCAAAGCTACACAGAGAAACCCTGTCTCGAAAAACCAGGAAAAAAAAAAAAAACATGCCTTTTATCCCAGCACTCGGGAGGCAGAGCCAGGCAGATCTCTGTGAGTTCGAAGCCAACCTGGTCTACAGAGTGAGTTCCAGGAAAGGCACAAAAGCTACACAGACACAGTATTTTACCTTTTAAACCGCCCATTGGCCTCTTGTTTATTCTTATAAAAAAAAAAAAAAAAAAAAAAACACCTTAGTGTAGCCAGATGTGGTGGCTCACACTTTTAATCCAAGCACTTGAGAGACAGAGACAGGAGAATCTCTGTGAAGTCAAGGGCAGCCTGGTCTACATAAGTGAGTTCCAGAACACTCAGGACTACATAGAGAAAAATTTAAATAAATTAGAATAAATAAAAAACAAAAACTTAGTATGTGGCATACTCAGAAGTACTGTATTGAAACAGGTATGACAAACTCATTGCTTAACCTCACCATGTGACTGCAAAGGAAAGGGCATTGCAGAAATTAGTAAATAGCACAGAGAGGCTAATTTGAAAATGGTTTCAAAATTATTCCCTTTTTAATAGTTTGTTTGTTTGTTTGTTTAAGACAGAGTCTCTATGTAGCTCTGGCTGTCCTGGAACTCAATATGTAGACTGGGCTAGCTTCAAACTCATAGAGATCCAGCTGCCTCTCCTGGGATTAAAAGTGCGCCACCATACCTGGCTTCTTGTTAATGTTTTATCAGTAAGGAAAACTGGTCCCCAGATAGTCACTATATTGTGATAGGGATCTTCTATCACAAGCTCCATGACACATTTGAATGCTTGCCTAACATAGGGAAGACCTGGCTTTAAGCCCTAGAACCAAAACAATAAATTAAATCCCACCATGTCCGGTATGAGAGCACATATCTGTAATCTCTCCACTGAGCAGGCAAAGGGGAAAAGATCATGAGTTCAAGGCTAGCCTGGCTGGCACAGTGAGACTCTGCCTCCAAAACGTTGGTAATTATATTGCTATATCTTGTTAGAGCTTCCAGAGAGTAAAACTAAACCAAAAAAAAAAAAAAAAAAAAAGAAAGAAAGAAAGAAAGAAAGAAAGAAAGGAAGAAAGAGAAAGAAAGAAAAAGAAAGAAAGAAAGAAAGAAAAAGGAAAAAGTAAGCAAAAGCGCTCAAGAGAGCCACAGGTTTTTTTTGTTGTTGTTTTTTGTTTTTTGTTGTTGTTGTTGTTGTTTTTTTTTTTTTTTTTGTAGTTCCCATTAATACATTTACTCCTCGGTCATTTGAAATAAAAATTGATTTCTGGTCCGTCTTTATATTGGTGAACACAACTAAGAAACTAGTGGCAAGGGACGAGAACTACCTCTGTTTTCTTGTCAACAGAGTAGACTATGAACGCATCAGGGATGTTGGCCCTGACAGGGCAGCATCTGAGTGGCTACTTCGGTGTGGGGCCAAAGTACGCTACCGTGGCCACCAGAAGTGGCTACAGGATTACAACCACATCCCAGGAAGCTCTGAGGGCAGATACAAGATTCAAGCAATTGATGCCACCGATTCTTGTATCATGGATGTTGGACTGGATCACATGGGTAAGTCCCAGCCATTCGCTTTTAGGGCATGCAGGTGATTTACAATGAATGTTTTGTTACAGTTTGCTCACTGTTACAGTCATGGTCATGTATTTCAGTAAAATGGATTGTTTATTCCTGTGTTAGATATTTATCTTCAAAATGAATAGAGATCATGTGATATGCACCTTCCTCCCTTATGAGCATCTCTCTGTGTTCTTTTGTTCACTTAAAATTCAAAGCTTGTTTGATTTGGTCAGACTATCTTAGTCAAACTCATGTCTTTGTGAGCCCCTCAGCAACATAACACTAATATATCCAGACAGCTTCTGCTCATGTGGGAATTTCTTTCTTCCAATACCTGCGCATATGACTTCAGAGTGGCCCTTGCACCAGCCCACGCTGTGTAAGGAATATGTCATATGGTCAACAGGGTTTCCATAGAATGGTCAAAGCCAGGACAGTCTTGTCTGTGAACCAAGGACTGTTAGTCATGGTAATAGTAAAACGGATTCTCAAACTGTACGTTTCCCCCCCCCAGAGGGCCTAGAGCATGTTGAAAAAATCATACTATGCAAGTGTCATTATGTTGAAGATAGCTGTTTGCAGAGGCTTAGTCAACTTGAAAAATTACGGAAAAGTCTGTTGGAAATGGAGATCATCGCCTGTGGGAATGTCACAGACAACGGCATCATTGCTTTGCGACATTTTAGGTAAGTGGTCAAAGCCAGAACTTGATGAGGTAGATAATCAGAATATGAAACAGTAATCTCAGATCGCAGGCAGTTTGAGATGTTTGAAACACTGGAACCAAAGGACTAAACCGTTTATCTCTTAACTAGCTGCTTTATCTGGCTGCTTCAAGGCTTCTTCCTCTTACAGAAACTTAAGTACCTTTAAGAACTTCAGGTGGTGTTTGTTTGTGTTATTATTAATATTTATGTACAAAGGGTAGCTGTTTTGTATGTGTATAGGAATAAAAAGACTCAGAAATGTCAATGAAATAAGGAAAATGATAATTTTAAAGTCTCGCATGAGTTTCATTTAAAGTAGCCTTCCAATACTATTGCTCTAAAAGCCATTTGGAAGGTATGTGGTGATGTAAATACCTTCTACATGTTACTTTTCCTGAACATCATATAAATTGAATTCATTTTTACAGCCATAAAAGGCCACACTCAAGTGACTTTGTTTTTTTCTCTGTTTGCAGGAACCTCAGGTATTTGTACTTAAGTGATCTTCCTGGAGTCAAAGATAAAGAAAATCTTGTCCAAGTCTTTCAAACAGCACTACCTTCTCTAGAACTAAAATTAAACCTGAAGTAAAATACGTGTCTGATTTCAGTACAAAGGGTCACTTGAAATTGCTCATACTAAATAGCTACACATACTACATAATCACCAATAGAACTAAGGAGGTGTTTTAATAATGGAGAAGTAGGGAATAATATTTAAAAGTGACTCACTAAAGTTACTTAGTTGGAAGTGAGAAATTATGTACATTGAATCACTTTTAAAAATATGACATAACATTTTAATTCTAATGTCTTCCTCATTGGCATGTATACTGTATGTATTGCTTGGTGTAGATATTGACATAGAGATCTCTAAACTGCATCGCAAATATTCTTTTTTGTATTACAATAATTTATATCTTTAAAGGCCCTGAGGCATGTTGCTGTAAATACCCGATTATGGCCGGGCGGTGGTGGCGCACGCCTTTAATCCCAGCACTCGGGAGGCAGAGGCAGGCGGATCTCTGTGAGTTCGAGGCCAGCCTGGTCTACCGAGTGAGTTCCAGGAAAGGCGCAAAGCTACACAGAGAAACCCCCGTCTCGAAAAACCAAAAAAAAAAAAAAAAAACCCGATTATGAAGAACTGAAAGCTCAGTTACAGATTCAGTGATGGAGTTGGCTGTGCACAATTGTGGGTGGTGTTGAGAACAGCACGCTGTATTACTTCCCGGGATTTGCACACGTTGCTCAAGCTCCTGCATTTCTGTGTTCCTAATAGGACATACTCTTTAAAAATACCCTTTCTCGGAATGAAGAGTGCTGGTTAATTCATCCTACTTCTAAGCTTGGGCGACTGCTGGATAGAACTGAACACAGGTTCTCGTCTATACCCAACTAGTTTTGCTGGTAAAACAAAGCAGGAACCAGGCTGTCCTTACTCCCTATCTACTTCAAACAGAATGTTAGTGTGCTGATTAAAAGCTAAATGTTGCTGTCCCTCAAATATTTTGAATGCTACCTCCTATGAACTCAAGGGACATAAAAATATAAACATGAAAATGAATTTTATATCTAGAAAACACTAATAAAGAATGTCATAAGGGGATAAAAACTAGTCTTTAATTTTTTACCTGAAATAGCTGTAATTCCATCATTGTTTGTTCTATGCTGATTCATATGTAGGTCTCTGTATACATGGTTGGTTATCAGGTTGCTGAATATGAATTTGACTAGGAATGACCTGCAGTGCAGCTCTCAGGCGGAAAAGGGAACTCCAGCTGGTTTTAGAACTCTGCTTATAAAAAAAAAACACCCTAATTCATGGGAAAATGCAAAATACATATATCACTGTCATTTGCAAGTCAGAAAATAGTAAATAAAAACAAAGACAAGGTAGAAGACATGTAGAATGGTCTCATGTGGTGTGTGCTGATTCCACGTGGGAGAGGAGGTTTGCAGGTTTGCTCAAATTTCCACTGAGCGTAGGCATAAATGTAATAGACTGCACCAAAGAAAGGCAAGCCCTTTACTCAGGTCTGTTTCGGTACTGTGTGGCCCAACAGCTAATCCGTCATGACTTCATCTGGAGAGACTTTTCTAGTCTACAGTTTCCTGTGAAACTACTGGAGAAATGAGGCAGTTACCATCATTTGCTTCCTTCAAATACATGTTTATTGATTTAAGAAGAGGGTTGGGGGAGGCAATTTTAACTATTCACAGAAGTTGATACCCTTCCTTGTCATTTAACATGGCTATTTAAGAGGAATTGAATAACACCGGGGCTGTTATTTAACCCACCGTCAGGTCTATGGAAGAAGCTTCATATACTTAGGAAGCCTTAATTTGCCTTGGAGTAGCCAAGGTTATTGAACAGAATTAAGTAAACTGCGTAGCAGGAAGTGAGCGGGGCTAAGTGATGTCATGAAATTAACCCAGGAAGAAAAATGAGAGTGCAGCAGAAATGTTGTAAAGGTGCAGGAAAATAGAGCTTTGAAATGCATGTCTGAGAACTCCTGTGAACCAGGAGCACCAACCGGAAATGACAGAGAGAAACTGAGACGGGCTTACATGCCCGTGTCCAGGGGGCAGCGAAGAAAAGCTTGGCTATCCGCAACAATAAACCGAGTCGAAGGTCATTTTAATTTTAAGTCTCACTGTTTAGAAATCCCCTGTGTTCGTTTTACCACTTCCTCGTTTGTTGTACTCTATTCATTAGCATGGTATGTACACATACATATGTGTACATGTGTGTGAGTGTGTGTATTCACAGACATATACATGGACATGATATATATAATGTAATAAGAGATACTTTAAGGAGAGAATATCAATTAGCAATCTGCGTGTTTCCTGATTCACATTAAAGTCCACAAGCAGTTATGTCTAAATCCAGATCATGTGAGTTCTGCTTATAGAACAGCCTTCAGGTGTGAGGGTGAGCTGAAAAACAGAGTGATAATTATTTTCTGGCTGACAGGTTCTTTCTGTGAGGCCTGTGAGTCTTGTTCTATCTATCCCTTTCTGATGCATCCTTTCTTAGGATAAAGATAAAAGTAAATGCAAGAGATGTATAAGTATCTCATTGGTTATACAAGCATAAAACCTACAAAGTTTTAAGACGAGATATTTCTATCAAATTAGATATCCTAAAACATGTCTTCAAACAGAAAAATCAAGAAAGAGCAAATAGGAAATAGAATCACAGACATTCTGACTTCAGGGACTAAAATCATACTTAAATATGATTTGAAAACAACAGTAGAGATAGGACTCAAGGCAAGACAGATCTAAAGAAACGCATGTGGACATTTCATAATCCGCTTTCCCCACGTGGCATATGGCAAACTGAAGCAGAAGTCCTTTCGACATCATCTGTTGCGGCTACGGGCAGTAGACACCGTTCATGTTCAGTCTTCAAGCTCCGCTGCTTAGATAAGCAAACGGTGAAACCCCAAGCTTTTGCTCTCTTCTCTGGACAGCTCCACCAAGCATGGGAGTCTGGATCTGGAATTTCTCTTCATATCTTGCCAAGCGGCCTCCAGCTTCTCCTGTCTGTGTTTTCTCTTGATATGTGGTCACTACAGGAATCAAATGTCGACATTTTTTTTTCTTCAAATTATTGGTTCTTCATCACTCTGTCTGCTCCTTAAATATTTGGAAAATGGTAGTTAAATTTCTTGGTACTACACTGGTACTTCTTATTGTCCAAGGCTGGGAGGATGCTGCTGCTAGTTAGCTGAGGTAGGTACTGCAACTGAAAACAAAACACAAAGTCAGGTTCAAAACTAGGCCATGCAGGGGGTTTCATTACTATTTAGAATACATCACAAAAGAAAGAGCTTTGGAGGTACAGAAATAATCTTTCTCTTATGAAATCCAGAACCGGAGAGGGGGAGAAGTGTTTCAATTTGGATTTTCCTTTTCTTTCAAAGGTTTGATTTATATTTTCAAAGCAGCCCAAGCCAGGTATGTTGGCACAAAATGTAATTCCAGCACTCAGGGAGCTGAAGCAGTAAGGTCACAATGGACCAGCCTGGGTTACATAAGGAGACCTGCCTCAGAACAGAGCAAAAACACAAAAGCAACCAAGATCTTGGGTTAAGTTCCCACCACCATGCACAAACACACAGAACCCACCTTAAAAAGGAAAAACACAGGACTGGAGGTGTATCTCAGTAATAACTTGTTGCTTACATGTGAGGGGCCCCAGCACCAAACATACACACACACACACACACACACACACACACACACACACACACACACAAAGAGAATTTAAAGACTATGGAAGAGCAGGTGATATCTGCATTATTGGAGAACAAAAGAGATTCACAGTGTTTGAGAATATCATGTAAGCCAAGGCCCTGTCCAGTAGAGAAAACAGATGTGCAGACCACTTGGGTGCACTGCCCACTTACTCCTCTAATTAAAAAGACAACACATCCATCCTCCTTCAAGCTTCAACAACAACAACAAATATCAATGTCAAATGAAAATAAGAACAGGCCTATATATTTTTTAACTGTACCATGTAGCCTTATGTATCTGGAACAAAGATACACTTAGTTCTTTTAAATAAAACAGCCCTCTAGGACTTCAATACACCAAACAGTGAGGTTCTTTATTCCTTACAATAGAAATATTTCGGGAGGTCTCTTTGCTCTTGAACACAAAGTATCAGTGAAATGCAGATAACTCAAGGAGGAAAGAGAGAGAGGACTTCTGGCCTGATTTACTCACTGGGCCATATATGATAGAGAATAATATCATCTCTTAGTTTTGTAACCATGGTCTACCTCAGAGCCTTGACATTGAGAAAGCTATTATTCCTAATAATAGCTCTATCTCTTCCCTTCCCAAACCACCCACTCACCCACCCACACCCCCCCTACACACACACACACACACACACACACACACACACACACACACACACACACCAATCAGGTATATATTTGAGGAAGTGGGGCCTACAGAGAATAGATTAAATGTGGTGGTTTGAACAAGAATGGCCCTTATTATTTTGAATGCTTGGTTCCTAGTTTCTAGAACTGTTTGGGGAAGGATTAGGAGGTGTGGCCTTTGGAAGAAATGTATCACTGGGGGTGGGCTTTGAGGTTTCAGAAACCTAGGTCAGTCTCTCCCCCCCAACTCTCTCTCTCTCTCTGCTTCCTGTGGATAGTATGTAAGCTCTCAGCTACGGCTCCAGCGTCATGCCTGCCTGCCTGCCTGCCTGCTGCCATGCTTCCAGCCATGCCGGTTATGGACCCACCCTCTGAAACTCCAAGCAAGCCCCCACCTGAATGCCTTCTTTTTCAAATTGTCTTGGTCATGATGTTTCATCAGAGCAACAGAAGATAACTAAGACACTAAGGCAAGGTAATTTGAAGCTTGTGAATCTACTACACGGATCCAAAAGTGATCAAGAACAGCCAACCCACCTCAGCTATGGTTCAACTGGATTCTAGATTGTCACAGATTTTTGCCATTTAATTTGAGGCAATGTAACCACTTTACGCTGGTTGGGATTTCTCACTGATTCATGTGTGCAGCTGGATCCTGTCCTGTGATTAAATGTGCTATCCTGCAGGTATCCAGTAGGCCCTTGTTGCTGTGTTTCTCTTCACCAGCTCTGACAAAGGACCAGAAAGGAAAACAATTCCATTTTTGGAGAAACCTGCAATGTTGACACTGGAGGTAGTATGTCAAAGGTCTGATTTCGTTCTCCAAAGTATAAGAGACATGTTCGGCTGAACACACAGGGATGTACCCGCCTGCAGCCCGCGTTCCTGTACATCAGACAGCTCGGCTCCTAGGGAGCATCAGGAACAGCCTGGCAAAGACAGCTTTAGGATTCAGGAAAGGGCCTTCAGAAGCAAGTCTCTGAGGCCCTGGTTGATATTTCAGATGACCTGTCTCCTACTTCTGGACTGAGGCTGCTGGGGCTCAAGCCATACCTGTCACTCAACCTAGATTCCAACTCAGTACCAGGCAACAGGCGTGAGATCATTTGAAACTGTAACCTTGGATGTTTCTGTAAAGCAGTGTGCCAGTTTTACCCCGGTCAGGTGCTTCCGACTCTGTCTCAGGGTCTTCCTCACTGACTTGTCATGTTGCCTTGTCAACTCCCCAACTTCTCGAAGGCTGTCAAAATATGGATGCTGCAACAGCTGTTCACATGTCAGCCTCTCAGCAGGGTCCATGTGGAGGCATCCCTGGAAGAGTAGAAAATCCCTTTATACTCCTTTGAAGTTGCAATAACTTATATTTCCTTTTCATTTTTTTTGAAAGACTGAGCACATTGATTTATTTTTAACTTTTACCATTTTTAAATTCTTTCCTAGATGCTTAAACTTTATGTGCATGTACAGATGCACCATCACATGTGTGCCTGGTGCTCATAGAAGTCAGAAGGTGGCATTGGATCCCCTGGAACTGGAGTTACAGATGTTTGTGACTCATTTGGTGCTGGGAACCAAACCCGGGTCTTCTATAAGGATAGGCACTCTTAACCGCTGAGCCTCTCCAGCACTGATTTTCACCATTTTTTTTTTCAAAGCCGAGGACCGAACCCAGGGCCTTGTACTTGCTAGGCAAGCGCTCTACCGCTGAGCTAAGTCCCCAACCCCGATTTTCACCATTTTTAATTGATACATAAAGTTATACAGATGGATGGGGCGCTGTGTGATAATTACATACACTCATACAAATGTGTAATCAAGATACTTAGCATTTCCATTTCCTTAAACAGTTATCATTTCTCTGTTAGGAGCCTTAACTCCTCTTTGGTTCTTCATAAAGTATGCAGCAAATTGTGTTACAGTTGCCCTGCTGTGCCGCAGCACATTAGAACACACCCCTGACTGTGCTGGCATCCTTTGTCCAGAATCTGCATCCTCTTCATCCCTACCCTTCTTCGCCTCTGGCAAGCACCAGTTCGTTCTCTAATTGTATGAAATCAACCTTCTTTAGCCTGAGCACAAGTGAGAAATGAGTTTTCTGTGAAACACTAAACACTCGTCAGCTGGAAATAGAAGGGATAGATGTTGGGAGGGGGGTTCCTCCTCATGTTCTTGGGGCATTTGGTGCCCTGCCATGGGGGGAGTACATGATTTTGGAGTTGAGCTCAGTGGTTAATGGGAGTAATTTGTTGAACTGTTCTGTACTTTTATTCTTGAATCAGGTTCATACACGGCAGAAATGAAGTTCACAGTGCCATCAGTCTCCGCTAGTCTAGTTCTTCCATTCCCCTTTCTAGAGTCTGCCAGCCTTTCTGATAGTGAGGTCTAGAAATAGTCTGTGCATTACAAGCATGCATGTACACAAGGAAAGACAAGCCCTCTGTATTACATCATTCTTAGTTACTTCTGTGCCCTTAAGCAGACCATGGAGCTCATACTCAGAAAGCAGTCCCAGCTGTATACCCCAAAGAACTGTCTCAATTTTGTATTTGTCTTTTGACAATTTCATGCATGTATATAGCATCAATAAACTTTGACTCCTTTTTGAAATATTGGGAAAATGGCTATACATTGCAAATTGTTGCTGTACGTACCATATTTTTCATAAGCTGTATTTCTAAAAATATATACGTAAACCAACTTTAAAATGTATACAGGGGTTGACTATTTAAAGATTTATTTATTTATTTATTTATTTATTTATTTATTTATTTATTTATTTATTTATTTGGTTTTTAAAGACAGGGTTTCTCTGTGTAGTTTTGGTGCCTGTCCTGGCCTCGAACTCACAGAGATCCTTCTGGCTCTACCTCCCAAGTGCTGAGATTAAAGGCATGCTCCACCACTGCCTGCCTATTTAAAGATTTATTTATTTGTATTTTATATATATGAATGCCTGCCTGCATGTGTGTCTGTGTGCCACATGTGTGTAGTGCCCATGGAAGCCAGAAAAGGGCATCTGAACCCCTGGAGCTGGAACATTTTTAATGACTTATTTATCCTTATTTTATGTACATTGGTGTTTTCCCTGCATGTATGTCTGTGTGAAGGTGTCAGAGCCCCTGGAACTGTAATTATAGACAGTTGTGAGCTGCCATGTAGATAATGGGAATTGAACCCTGGTCCTCTGGAAGAGCAGTCTGTGCTCTTAAACACTGAGCTATCTCTCCAGTCCAAAATGGATGTTTTTCAAAAGAGGATTTTAAAGAAACATTTCATCAGAACCCCTGAAACAGTTGTAAGCTCCCATGTGGGTGCTGAGAGTTAAGCCCTGGTATTCTGGAATAGTAGACAGCGCTTTTAACCTCTTAGCCATCCTTCCATCCCATGAGTTGGTTATTTAAATGATCCTGCAGTTATGAATGTTTTCTTTTTGAAGGAAAATATAATTTTGTAAAACACCACCCTTAAGATTTCCATTTTGTATAAATTTAGAACTCCAACAGAATCTTACTTTTATTTAAAGTGAAAAGCATATATTTTCACTATAATAGAATGAGACCCATTTTTTAAATTGACATTTTTCTTTCTTAAAAAATTTTTTAATGAATATTTATCTTTATTTTATGTTCATTGGTGTTTTGCCTGTATGTATGCCTGTGTGAGGATGTTAGATCCCCTGGAACTGGAGTTACCGACAATTGTGAGCTTCCATGTGGGTGTTGGGAATTGAACTTGGGTCCTCTGGAAGAGCAGCCAGTGCTCTTAACCACTCAACCATCTCTCCATCCCAAAATTGATGTTTTTCAAAGGAAAGATTTTAAAGAAACATTTCATCAATTGACAATTAATTCTGACAACGGCATGCTTCCCGGTCTCTTGAAAGCCAGGATTTTACCTTTAAGAAGTCCAGGGCAGGGTAGGAGATGTTTGGAAATTTCAACTCGAGGGTTTCCTGTCAAAAAGAAAAGGGACTTTTAACTGACAGCATACATTTTAATTGAAGTGACCTCACGCTAAATTTCTTCTGAGTAGCTTCCTGGCATCCTCCTCCAGTCCCCCACCCTTTCCCGCTCTGCCTCCCACAGGTGATAACCTCCTTGTGACTGTCCACCAGCCTCTTCTCCCTTCACCTCCGAGATGCTTTTCCAGCTCTGTTTCCCCATCACTCACTTCCTTCCTGAGTAAGGTAGCAGTGTGAGTAAACACCGACCAACCAAAGAGGGTGAAAACAAAGAGCTGCACAATGCACGGGCCAAGCTAGTAGTTCTTTTCGTTTGTTTGTTTGCTTTGCTTTGGGTTGTATAAAATGCTTTTCCTGACAATGACTTTTGGCATTAATTATTGCATTTATTGGCATTTGGATAAAGGGAACTTCAAAATACATTTTTATCCCTACCCAGATGAACTCATGCTCATTGGATTTCTGGAATAAACACTGTTGTCACCTCCCATAAGTGCCTGCTGTGTCTCTGATCAGCCCACGGTTTAAAGAGTCTCCCCAGCCGGCTCTCATCTCCCTCTGCCTTATTAAGGCTGGTGCACGCCGGTCACTTGGCTGAGAGTAAAACTGTAAACGGCTGGGTGGTGGTGGTGGTGGGGGGGCTTGCTGCTATGAGGAGGTAAGTTAAGGAGCTGTCTCACTGCAAAGACTGATTAAGATGGAAGCTGAACAGAATCATTGTCCACAGTGCATGGTGTGTGTGAATATGGTAGTGTGAGCTGAGGGCTGGAGCCACTGGCCAGGCTCATCTAATGCATGGGGCTGAGGCTGTATGTAGTTCAGAGCTTCAGAGCAGTGTTGTTTTAGACAGGGAGCCAGGCTCAACACAGTTCTCAATGGCACACATGCTAATGACCAAAAAAGGAAGTGCCTCCATTTAAGAGGGGGAAAAAATCCTACCTTACCCTTGTATTAGCCCTTGAGAGGGTCGCCTTTGCCCGCACCACTGAAATAGCTCTTTCTGTGTATTTATCTAACCTAAGCAATGTTGCTACGTCAGCTCTCCGAGCTCAGGAACAATGCCTAGGATGACCTGCATTGACTGTAATACACCAGGCCCCTCCAGCCTGCGGAACTGGTTCCCCAGGCCCAGCAGTCAGCAGGCCTTGCTAGGCAGGGTTACTGACCTGGCAGAGGGAGAGGACACAGATGTTCAACCGGCACACAGCCGTGTGCTGCTATTTCCTGTGTTTCTGTCAACAGGAAATCCCTTGCAGGACCAACCTCTGGGAACCGGGAGAGGAGCGTCCCATTTATAGAGCCGTGGATGTTTCGGAGGCTTCGCCAGCGGACAGTCAGCCAGGAAATTGCTAAGGGATATTTGGTGCAGACCTGGGGATGTCCAGGTCACAAGGGAGCCAGTGGGTCGCTTCCCATAAGCCAGGTGCTGTGCGCGCCTCTCCATCCCAGCATGACCCACTTTCCCCAGTGCTGGTAATGCTGGTGATGCTCTGGGGAGATGGACTGGGGCTGGTGGGACAGAGACAGAAAGCAACCACAAGGGACCAAAGGGACCTCCGTCTGGAAACCGAAGTGTTGGTTTCCAGCTGAAGGCGCCTTTCTCAGACAGTGGAAACTCGATGCACAAACCTTCTTTATGCCCTGAAACTGTATTATTACTTTTTTCTTTGCAGTGCTGGGAATCCACCAGGGTCTGCTGGGTAAGCACTCTATCATGGAGCAATAGCCACCCCAAGTCATGATATACCTTTTTATTGTAATACAGACCCACTTGAAGACATTTCAAAAATGGAAAAAAAAATGGTGTGGGGGGGGAGGTGAAAATGGTACCCAAAAATCTCACTACAAGGAGATATCCACTGTAAACTGGACATGGAAGTGCACACATCTAATCCCAATACTTGAGAGGTGAAGGCAAGAGATTTAGGAGTTTAAGGCCACTCTGGGCTGTCTCAAAAATAAACAGGAAAAAAAAAAAAAGAAAGATATCCTTTCTTAACTATTTAAGAAATGTAAAGGGGTTTGCATACATAGTCTCCTATGGCATTTGCCGGTAATCTCAACCCTCAGGATCGGATCATAAGGCTGGGAAATCAAAAGTTCAAAACCATGGTTAGAGAGATGGCTGAGCTGTTAAGTGTGCTGGCTGCTTTTCCAGAAGACTGAGGTTTAATTCTCAGCACCCACATGGTGGCTTAAGACCATCTGTAACTCCACTTCCAGGGGATCCAGCTGTCTCTTATATGGGCACCAGGCAGGCAAGTGGTGCACAGACGTGTATGCAGACAAAAACACCCATATTCATAAATAAAGAATTGGATTTTTTTTACAAGTTCAAAGCTAGCCTGGGCTATAAACTAAGACCTTATCTCAAAGGAAAAAATGAAGTAAAAATGTGCATGATTTCCCAGAGGTTGCCATATTTTTTATATTTATATGTGCATTTAATATAAATGTTTTAATAAGTATTTATTTGAACTATTTTAAATTATACTGTTCAGTAACCACTTTCTTCACCAACCCACCTGCTGTAGACTTTTCCAGATGAATAAACTCAGAACTAATTATCTTTACCAGCCCCAAGACAGCTAAGGCACAGATGTTCTGTAACTTAACCTCCTACCAAATTCTAAAGGTAATGATGTGAACGCTTCACCTCCATACCCTTGTCTAATGGTTTCATTGGGATGAGTTATTAAAAGTGGGTTGGGGATGTAAGCATTTAGATTTTCTTAGTCCTTTTTAAAAGCGTGTTTTCCTCCCCCACATTAACCATACAGCAGCAGAATAGGGCCCTTATGGTTTTTCTCCATGTTCTGGGAAGTAAGTACACTGTAGGGAATTTGGACAATGCAGGGGCAAAGTGGCTGCTTTCACTTGGTGAGTCAGTGTTTAGGTTTGCTTGAAGTGGATTGGCTCTGGGCGATCTGTGTTCATCCATGTCAATGATAAAGGGCTGGAGCGGCCAGGCCAGGCGGTTTTGCTTTCCTGGCTGGCTAACACTGTTCCCAGGGCCTTCTGAGTTTGAACTGAGGCCAGGACCTTGCTCACCAGCTTGCTCCAATTTTCTGTGTCATTCTTAGACAAAACTTTCAATGCGGGCTGAGCCATGGGGAGTAAGTGAATAACTACTAAAAACCTAGCTAGCCTGACCTTAAGAACCACCTCCAAAATGAGTTACTCACCATGTCTTCAGGGTCTGGAATTTTCACCCCACTGAAGTACTGATTCATGCTAAATACTTGCTGGTGCCTGGGAATGAGATCCCCTTTGAACAAGAAGAGACGGAAGTAAGTGGGATTGCTTGGGAAACATGGGGCTGTGTTTTCCCTCCATGGCAGTGTGGACCTGTGCCTCCAGCTGCGAAGGTTGCAGCTTTCTTTTCCCAACAGGAGAATCATCCAGGCAACACAATCTACACTGAGCTCTACATCGACAGTGTGTCAGGAACAGAAATCGAAGGCTGCAAAGGTTCTTCCCTTGTGAGCTTACAGCACATTTGAAGACTCTCAACCAGATGAGCTAACGGAAGAAGGGCTTTTGTCTGTAAGGAATCCATTTCCAAACTGGAACCATCTTTTCCTGTTTTGCCAGTTGGCGATCTATTGGAAACTTTGCCATCTACTGTTTAGAAGCACTTACAGTATGGTACACGGAAACAGAGTTTCTAGATTCACAATAAATGAAGTTCATCCTGTAACCATGGCAGCCAAATGAGCCGGTGGTGCCTTCATGCAAAGTCCTAGGCACATTACCGTGAAAGATGTCTGTTCAGAAAATAGAATGAGGTGCTTCCCTTGGGCACAAATGGCCACTTTCTAGGGCAGAGGGGAAGCCAAGGCCTCCAGCCAGCAGCCTGCGGGGCTGTCCCCGAACTGGCCCCAGCTCCTAGCTAACGAGAGCATCAGATTGTACAGGGCTACTCGTTTTACAACTTTCCCTCTCGCTCAGATCAGAACCTCCCTCTGTTCTGGACAAGCAAGCAAAAATATAGCCTCTGGGATGATGACTCATATGTCTGAAAATGCTGTAATGAAGCCCCTTAGCTTACATTCTAGCTTTAAAAATTAATTACACGTACATGCATAGAGGAGACAGATATCCTTGTGCCCTCCCTGCCCACCCCTCCCGCCGAGGCAGGAGTGACAGGCGAGTGTCCTAAGGCCACTGGGGACGACAGCCAAGGAAGGCTGAGTGGCCCTGCCTGAGCTTCAAGGAGGCTGCAAATGCCAAGGCGTTGGTGGAGATATCAGCAGTAGGAACCATCTCACGCTCAGGCAGCGTTCAGTGTTTTGGAAAGACAAAACTGCATGGTGATCGTTGATACTTCAAAAATTGATGGAGCAGAGAAATCCTGCTTTGCATCGGGCTCCTTAGCCGACGAGAATCTAACCCCTGGATTTTGAAAAGAGCCATCATTGCTTATGGAGCTCTTAACTGTCCCTCTCTTTTCCTCTCTCCCTCCCTTTCTTCTTCTGTCCTTACCATTCCCCTTAATGCTAGAGGAAAAGCAAGACAAAAATAAAAATAAAAATGGCTTGAGAAAAATCAGCCTTTCTTCTTCTTCTAGCCGCTTAGAAGGCTGAGGAGCTTCCTTTACTACAGAATCTGAATATTCCAAAACTCGTCAGGCAGGCCGCAGTCAAGGACATCTAAATGAATCACCACATCCTAATACAGGTTTGGCACCCCTAATTAAAAAATCTGAAACTGAGCACCAACACGATACTACAAGTAGAAAATTCCACAGGTGATGAGTCACAGTCAAAACGCGGGTACACTAAAATTATTATATAAAATGACTTCCAGGATATGAGAATAACGTGTAAATGAAACATAAATGAATTTTGTGTTTAGACTTGGGTCCCATCCCTAAGAGACCTCATCCAAATCTCTGAAGTCATAAACACTTCTAGCCCCAAGCACTCTGGATGAGAGCTATTCAGCCTGTAAATGAAGTCAGCCACGAAAGCAGTGTTTCCGTCACCATGGTAATGCTTTTAGAAGTTAACTGGATCCAACCTAAGCTCAAGACATAAGTCTTTATCTTCTGGACAACTAGCAAATTCTCAATAACCATTCATTATTGTGATTTAAATAAACAATAGACACTTTTAATAGCGCCATGTCAGTGAGGCTCTGAAGTTCCCTGGTGTCTGGTGAGCTGGGAATGTGGTGCTTCCATGGGAAAGCTAGCCAGTTCTCTAAAAGCCAGGACAGAAATGCTACTTACCCAGGGTTTTCCTTATCAGATAGAGCTGATCCACATCCGATTTTCCTGGCCACAGAGGCACTCCGGACAGCAGCTCAGCAAAGACACAGCCGATTGCCCAGACATCTACTGGGGGGCCATACTGTGTGTCCCCCACCAGCAGCTCAGGTGAGCGGTACCACCTGGTGGCCACATAGTCTGTGTAGTAGTCACCTGGTCCAGCTGGCCAGTGAAGAGACATGGAACACAGAATAGTGGAAGCCCGGAATCAGAACTGAGAGGGAAAGACCTAAGAAGTGAAGCCTATAGCTCTTCAGAATCGCTGTTCTCAATGCAAGCTGCTAGTTAAAATCACCCAGCCATAGGAATTTTTAAATTACTAATGCCTCATCCCAATTCAACTAATCAGAATACTTGGAGAGGGCCCAGGGTTGCCAGTACAGTTTGTAAAGTTTCTTGGGGGTTAATCTGCAGCCAAGATTAAAAACCATCTATCTAAAGTATTACTTCTGGGAAGTGTTATTTCAGGAGGGCAGGAAGGCAAGGGTGGAAATCAGGAGATTAGCATGCCTTATAGTAATTACTGCGGTACAGTTTACATATAACCCATGCATCTACACTATTTATACATTTTTCAAGTTATATTGCATCACAAAATTCTGCAAGAACTGTAATTTACAGCAAGATTGTTTCCTATGCAGAACCCAAGAACCAGCTTTCTGCAGTATCTAGACCAGCTGTTGTAGCAAGAATGTTTCTTTGACCCCGAAGAAAGCGGCAGTACTCACTGAGAAGCCGGGCAAAGCCAAAGTCACAGAGCTTAATGACTGAGTGTTTCGTGATGAGAATGTTCTCTGGCTTTACGTCTCTATGTATGCACTGGTAAGAAAAAGGCAAAAGAAACGAGTTATGGAGGAGCAGCTGTGACATCTGCCGTGAGGAAAGGGCAGGGACATTTAGCAGACAATGGATACATCACTGTAGTCTTTCATTAGCCTGTTGGATAATAAAACCACAGACTAAAATTAGTTCCATACCTATAGACAGAATCATTTCAGATTCCTGAAGGGCCCCAAAGACCAAGAACTGTGACAGGGTGAATGAAAGCAGAGGGACGAGACTCAGCTAGTCACATTTGAATGCCAGATAAATGACTTTTCTTTCTCAGTGCTGGGGACCAGTCCAGGACCTGATCCATGCACTCCACTACTGACCTACACCTACTCCAGCCCAAGCAAGCAATGTAAGTAAATCTCATATAGTATGTGTCAGAAAAGGGAACTTGGTATTTAACTAGGAGTCATACTTAACTGGATGGCAGCAGGTAAGGAAGGGGAAAGGATTGAAAGGCCCTGGGGCCCGCAGCCTGCTCAGGGGCTACAGATTGATCACTGAACCGAGGCCTGCTGGGTAAACAGGACAAGCCCTGGGCCTGCTGAGATAAGCTGGGCAAGAGAGGGCGGGAAGCTCCTGCCTGCCAAGAGATCTCCCTTCCAGCTCTGACATTTGTCCTGGAGAGATAAACAAGAGCAGGCTGCAGCCTCACCCTCTGGGGCGAGTCGCTAGATGTCAGCTCTGTCCCACGGCACGTCCAGTGCCTAGCAGGCAGCTTCTGAGGGGCGGCCTACCGCCATCACCTGGTACCTAGCCACATTCTTTAACGGGGTGAAGCTACACAGAGGAACGCTTGAGAAACTTCGCAGGACTTTCTTATTAAATGACAATTTCTTTGACAAAAAAAAATTTTTTTAAGTAAATAAACCTCTTCAGTCAACAGCTTTTAACCAAGAATTACATTTAAAAATTAAGTTGGGACAAAATATTCCTCCGAGTTCCTCGTGATCTTCCCCCTTTCCAAGGGTTTTCCTCTCTGCTGGGAAGTGTTGGATCTTTCTGCCACCCAAGAGACTGTGTTGGCCTGAAGCCTGCAACCCTCGGGGTCATCCTTGACTTTCTAGAATCTGCAAGGAGGACAGGGGTTCCTCATGGGCCCAGCAGTCCCCACCCCAAAGGATGTCGGGGTGAGAGAGCAGCCTCAGTCTCTTCCCACCAGCATTTTCACCCTGGAAGGGTCGGGGGAGGGTTAAGTCATGCATAACCTATCTGCGTCTCAGTCATCGACGGCTCCGGGGCCGAAGTCCTTCCCCAGCCATTGTACAAGTTGCTATAAATAGGTCCTCCCGTGAATATCATGATGACATATGGGCAGAGGGACTCAGAAACAAGAATGTGCTCTCACTCTGTTCCGGGATTCTTTTACGAGCTTCTGCACCCTCCCCGCCCCCACCCGCCAGCACATGACAGAGTCTGGGACTCTCCAGGGAGCTGTGGTATGTATTCTATTTTGTCTTCACTGCCTCAGATCTTCCCCACCAGGGCTGGCTGGAGAGCTGGCTATCTTATTCTCTCTTCCCCTCCCCTTCCCTCCCCTTCCCTCTGTACCTCCCCTCCCCCACTCTCCCTCCTGCCCTCCATGCTGAAACTTGATTGTTGGGAAAGTGCTAACCACCGATGATAATGACTAGACATGTGAAGGGTCCATGCCTTCTGCTGTAAACTGGTGCTTTTTTTTTTTTTCTTCAAGTGTTAGGAGTCAAACCCGAGGCCTCATAAGTGCTAGGCAAGAGGTCTACCATGGAGTTCCACCCCGGCTCTGACAAAGATTCCAGGCTTCAGCTAATGAAAGCAAAATAATAGCTGATCTCTTATTTTCTTCTTGAAAAGCAGCTTCCGAAGAAGAAACTTACTTGGGCAGACTTGTAGGGGATTTAACCCCTCAGGTTCGGGTGACCTGGCAGGTGAGATGACAGACAGCTATTGTCCAGTCATACTCACGGCTAGAATGAAACTCTAAAATGACTGTCTGGGATTTTGTTTGTGTTTAGCTGTTGGAATCTGATTTTTTTCCCCCTTTTTGTTATATTGACTAATCGGCAAGTCGCCTGATTGTGGGCTGAGGATCAAACCCAAGGCCTCATCCATCGTGGGCCAGCACTCTACCACACAAGTGTGTTCCACTGCAGGAAGCTGGCTTCCACGTGCAGGAAGTGGGCACACTGTGTGCAGGGGGAGAGGGCAGCAGATTTTTCAGCATCTGTGAAGCCATGCCCCCCCCCCCAGCAGTCTCCGGCTGTGACTCCCTCCAGCCCAGCTGTGGCAAGGAGTGGGGGGGGAGGCCCTCTTGAACACTCTTATCTCACCAAGGCAGACACTAGCAAAGTTCCCTCCGGACTCCACCCACGCAATTGCCTCTGACCAGGCATGGGGCGTCTGGGGGTGCTGCTCCCAATTTCAAAGCCTTTTGGGAAGACCTATCCAATACAGACCCTCTAAGTAAGACATTGTTCTTTCTACCTCACATTTACAAGTTTAAAAAAATATGACTGATTTCCTTAAGTGTTTTTTTAATAATTTATTTAAATTTATTTTATGTGCATTGGTGCAAAGGTGTCAGATCCCCTGGAACTGGAGTTACAGACAGTTGTGAGCTGCCATGTGGATGCTGGGAATTGAACGCAGGTCCTCTGGAAGAACAGCCAGTGCTCCTAACCACTGAGCCATCTCTCCAGCCCCTACATGGTTTTTAAAATGTATGTGTCCTAAGATCTGCCTACAAAGGGATAGCTAAGTTGGGAATTTCAGTCTTTTACCCTGGCCAGGCTTATTATACCCACAAAAGTGTGATAGGAACTTTGAACAAGGCTTTGAACTTGGCCAAAGGAAGGCTGCCTGAGTTTTCAAAGAAGATCATGAGACTTACGTTGTGTTTATGGCAGAAATTTACAGCCTGCAGTGTCTGCCAAATTATGCTCTTCATGAGATGTTCTGGTACCCTAATAAAAACAAAAAACAGCACAAACACATTCTTCACTCTAGCCATGGAATTCAGCTCAAGAAACCCCAATCCAAACCAGGGCGGGCTTTGGTACTGAAAAAATCCCAGGAGACACAGAATCCTCTGGAGACACAGAATCCTCTTGGTCCACAAGTCCAGAGCATTAATAATGTGTGGCCAGCACACTGCTGAATTGTAGGGAAATCAAGTTAACAAAAATACAAACATGAATCCACAGGGATTTCAACAAGTATTTATATCCTGGGACTGCCTGCAACTTGAAGTCCTTCTCAGTTTCTTTCTTTGTTTGGTTTTGCTTTTTTAAGAGAGGGTTGAGGCATGGTCTTTGCTATGGTGGCACCAACTGACCTAAAACTCTGGCTCATCCTGTGCTAGCCTCCAAGTGCTGGGATTACAGGTATAAGCCACCAAGCCCCATTTCTATAATAAGGACCTTACTACTGTAAAGCCAGTTAATATATGGCACCAAAGACAATGTTGTGTCTTTGCTCAGGTTGCCCTAGATGGTGGCCCTGAAGAAAGACTCCTTGTGTGTGCAGCATCTCCGGATGCCTGAGTTACTTGTTTGTTCGTTCTCTTTGAAGGGAGAAGAACGAGATTTTTCTGAGACAGCAAAGAGGTTTATGTTGCACACCATATAACTAAAGTTCAAAATAGTTACAAACATCTCTCTTCTCGCCAGCTGCATCCTCCTCACCTCTTTCTGCTCTTTCCTCTATCACAACATCTCATATGCCGCTCTCCCCATCCCGTCCTCACTGACTCACGGCCGATTTAACCACGGTGGCCTGGAGCCCTGACAGATGCTGTGTGTGAACTGGAAAAAGGCATCTCCTTGGGAAAGAAGCATTTTAAGTATGGGGCAAGGAGCAATTAGAAAGTTGCTTATTTGGGGGGACCACCCCGGGACACACACATGCCGGACTTATTATTTTTATGGATCGAAAATGAAATGTTATGGCTCTCAGCCAACACGACTCTGTAGACCAGGGAGGAAATGCATGTAGCACTAAAGGTGACCACAGAAAGTCACTTCTAGCCCCTGGAGAGGCCACAAGACCACTGTTGTCACAGACCAGATGTGCAGGAAATCCTTTCGGGGGGGGGGGGGGAATCAAAGGATGCTTGAGCAGACACAAGGACAGCATGCCGGAAACGAGGAGGCCACCTCCAGGAAGAAGGGCCGGGATGTTTTTGGATTAGGATTGTTTCCAGGCTTGAGATAGCTTTTTACCAAATCCTCTTCCTCGTTCTAGTGACTTGGAGGCACAAACACCAGGAAAACGCACCTATCAGGAAAACGGCCTTGAAAAACACAAAGAAGAAGTGGACTTCAAAGGCTCAGAATCCGTCTCTTGTTCAGAAAAATGTACTGTGCTTATTCAATGACCTTTTAACATAAAGCCGTAAGTGTCAAGAAACTTCAGTCTCCAAAGATATTTCCAAAAATAAGATACACAAAAGGAGTGTTTCCAAGTGGTTTATAATATTCTACCAATAATAGTGCTCTAGTGCTGAGCACACTATCACACACTTCTCAGGGTAGAAGTGGCACTGTGTGGCTTCATTCTCTTATCATTCCATTTTTCTGCAGCATGGGAGCCTCAGATTCTAAGATCCCTTTTAGTGGAAGCACTGTGAGATGAGGTTAAGAGACAGGTTTTCACTGTTGGGGAAGAAAAAAACAGGAAGAAAAACAGAATATATTCTCAGGTGTTAGGATGGAACTGGAAGTGTGTGGGGTGTGTGTGTGTGTGTGTGTGTGTGTGTGTGTGTGTGTGTGTGCGCACGCATGTGGAGGCCAGAAGCGGGCATTGAATCCCCTGGAGCTGTAGTTACAGGTGATTGTGAACTGCCCACTGTGAGTACTATGAGTACTCAGAGGTTCTCCCGGGTCCTCTGAAAGAGCAGCAAGTGCTCTTAACCACTGAGCCACCTCTCCAACCTCACGTGCAAACTATGGCGTGCTGAGACTTGAGCCACTCTCCTCAGGCTGGGAGACAGCTGGCAGTCAGTCACGGTTGGGCTGAGGGCACACTCAGGGCAAAGATCTGAAGATCCTGACAGGGCATGCCAGCAGGTGGCTTGGGCAGTCAGCTGACTGTACAGTGAGGATCGGGCCTTCCAGTAGGTTCTCAGCTCTTCTCTGTGAGCAAAGTCAGAGATTATAAGATGCCCAGGGACAGCTTCTAATAAAATCAGAGACTGAACCAACAGTGGTACACACACGCGTGGTCCGAGTACTCTGGAAGCTGAGCCAGGAGGATCTCACATTCAAGGCCAGCCTGGGCTACATAGCAAAACCCTGCCTCAAAAACAAAACAAAACAAAATAAAAAAACAAAACTAAAAACAAAATAAAGACAACAATGCTGTGGATATCGCTCTGTATAAATAAAATGCTGATTGGCCAGTAGCCAGGCAGGAGGTAATGCTGATTGGCCAGTAGCCAGGCAGGAGGTATGGGTGGGACAAGCAGAGAAGAGAATTCTGGGAACAGGAAGGCTGAGCCAGGAGATGCTACCAGCCGTGAGTACCAACATGTAAGATACTGGTAAGCCGTGAGGCATGTGGCAAGGTATAGATTTATAGAAACGGGTTAATTTAAGATATAAGAACTAGATAGCTAGAAGCCTGAGCCATTAGGCCAAGCAGTGTAAATAATATAAGCGTCTGTGTGTTTATTTTATAAGTGGGCTGTGGGACTGCTGAGGCTTGGCAGGAGCTGGAGAGAAACTCTCCAGCTACACAACAACAAAAAGGTTAGCAAAAGACAGTGACTAAAACAAACAGAAAAAACAATCCTATGGAGAATATTTTAAAATTATTATATCCTTACAGGACAAGGGAAGTTGTTCTATCCCTGGAATCAGAAAGGAACAATGGCTAAGAATATACCTTAGTGGTAAATCAATTGCCTAGCATATGCAAAGCCCTGGGTTCAAATTCTCCCCAGAATACAACAGAAGAAAATAAGAGAGAGACAGGCCGGCGGTGGCACACACCATTAATCCCAGCACTCAGGAGGCAGAGCCAGGCGGATCTCTGTGAGTTCGGGCCAGCCTAGGCTACAGAGTGGGCTCCAGGACAGGCACCAAAACTACAGAGAGAAACTGCCTTGAAAAAAAAAAACAACAAAACAACAAAAAACAAAACAAACAAACAAAAAAAGACGCGGGGATAATCTCAGCCTCCTCTTTCTCCCTGGTACCTCTCGTAAGGCTTGGTCAGGAGGCTCTGAAGCGTCACTCCTTCAAAAAGGACAGCGAACTAGAGGTTAAACAGATGGTGAAAACTGGAGCCTCAGCACAAACGGGAAGTCGAGGGATGGCCGGGAGGGTGCTGAAGGGAGGCAGTGCCCAGCTGCCCTCCAGGCAAGAAAGGCAACCAGTCCAGACTGGAATAACACGATTTACGCGTCAGCACGGCTGAAGGCGGCCCTCATGCCCTCCGCCTTATGCCATCTTAAGTAAACACAAAAATACATGATAAAAGTTTTGAAAAACGCCGAGTGACTGGGTAGAGCCCCCAGGCTGAGACGGACGTTCCTCAGCCGCAGCCTATGGTTGTGACCAGGCTATGGTGACCAGGCTAAGAAACTCGCTTGGCTCCACAGTGTGGGTTTCCGTGTTGATGGCAAAATACGGTCTTGCTGGGCAGATGGCAGAGGACTGGGATGGTGATGACAGGGAGAAGGCAGTTCCCTCCATCCTCCCTGGCCCAAAGAGCTCTCTGGCTCAAAAATGTGTTCTTCTGGTCAGGGCGGTGGTGGCGCACGCCTTTAATCCCAGCACTTGGGAGGCAGAGCCAGGGGGATCTCTGTGAGTTCGAGGCCAGCCTGGTGTATAGAGCAAGATCCAGGACAGGCACCAAAACAACACAGAGAAATCCTGTCTCGAAAAACCAAAAAGAAAAAAAAAAAAATTCTAGTCTAGATTTCTGAGTGATTATACTATCTTTTTAACCAGTTAGAGACAGATGTGCTGGGGGAAAAAGAACTAAGTAAACCCAGAAAGAGGAAGACAGGAGATCCAGGAAGTAAGGAATTCAACAGCAGAGAAATTCAGGGGGAAATGTTAGAGAGTAGCCAAAGGGGGTCCCAGGAGGACAGCTGGACAGCTGGACAGCAGGCCTCTGCACAGGGACTGAGGCAGGGTGCCGCCAAGACATCATAACCAAATGAATAGGAACTAGTGGAAGCAGATGCGAGTGCCCCGCAGAAAAGTATAGAGGCTATTTCAAAAATAGGGGAAATTATCAATAGGGTTAAAGAATGTTAAGCAAATTGAAAGGGCAAAGCAGATATTAATTTGAGGGAAAATGCAATAAGAAAGCCAGCACAATGGCGCACGCCTTTAATCCCAGCACTTTGGGGGCAGAAGCAGGTGGATCTCTGTGAGTTCGAGGCCAGGACAGCCTGGTTTATTATATAGTGAATTCCAAGTCAGTCAGAGCTATATAGGGATACCAAAAACAACAAAAATACACTGTGAAACTATGGTATGGTACAGTTAGTTAATATTAGAAATGTAAGTATTTGGAGGATTGGGGTAGAAAAGCAGAGGGGATAATGATTTAAGAAAACTAAATCTTCATCTATCAAAACCGGGAGCCTACAGGCGCTGGAGAGATGGTTAGAGGTTAAGAACACTTGTTCTTGCAGAGGTTCCAGGTTCAGTTCCCAGCACCTACATGATGGTACATAACCATCCATAGCTCCAGTTCCAGGAGATGGACAACCTCTTCTGCCTTCTGAGGACACAGAGCATTCGCATAGCACACAGCTGTACATGTAGGCAAGATACTCACACACATAAAATAAATCAAGTTTAAAAACAGGAAGCCTACAATACCTAAAAATCTTAGGGAATATCAATATGCCACCTTTTACATTATATTATCTGCTAATAATCTTAGTAGGAATTTTTCACTTGGGTCCATGAGAAACACTCACTATTTTTTTTTTTTAATTTGAAACACCTTTATCTGGTTTTTGCATCAGGATAGAGTGGACTCAGAAAATGACTTGGGAAATGTTTCTTCTATGTTTTCTAGAAGAGTTTGGATAGGGTTGCGATTATTCCTTCCTTATACATTTGATAGACTTCACACATAAAATAGTTTAATAATAGAACTGGAGTCAGAATGATTATAAGGAAAAATACATTTCAGTTCGTATCCTGGGTGGTAAAGGTAAATCGTTCAGTTTTGGGAAATGTGTACCTGAGAGCCCTAGTCGGAGAACTTTCTAAAGGGAAAGTAAGGAAAAAGAAAAACCTATTTGTAGGGAAAATTTACAGTAGAATTATTAATCAGACCAAATGCTGAGAACTCCTTGACTATTCAGGGACGGAAGAATGGCTAGAAATAATGTAACTTAATATAATGATTTGTATTAATAATAGGTCTAGAGATTACATGCCAATGTCTATAAAAGACATATGAAAGTGTCTTAGCAGAGCAGAGAACTCGTTCCAGAACACAGGCCATGCGGTGCTTTCTCTGCAAAGCAGTTGGCAACATGGCGCTGTGGCCATGGTCTCCAGCCTTAAGACAAGGCCTTTGCCAGCACCCCAGGACAGTGTGTGTGCACCGCAACAAAGCCAACACGAAGTGAATGACCCAGCCCGATGCACAAAACCAGAGTAGCAACCTTCTCATTTATCTGTACATCTTGTCAACTGGCTTAATGCTAGGCGATTTATGAAAAAAAATCAGTTTCCAATCTTCATGAGGAGCGCTGTGACAGTTTGGCTGCATCCACACTCGCTTCTGGAGAGAGCCTTCTCAGTAGGTAAAATGTCTTTAATCAAATTTAACAAGGCCAGAAGTTACTTTAGTTAAGGTTTCCTTGCTCCTCCCCCAATGGGTTCCACATTTGAGTAGACTGTTGGGGGAGAGCGGAACTGTAGAAAATCGGGCCTCTGTTGGAGGAAGGAAGTCGGTGGGGGCATGCCTTGAGGGGTGAGTGTTGACCCCTCCCTGGTACTCCTCTCTGTTTCCAGGTTGTCACGAGACAAGCAGCTTTGCCCTGTCCCAACCTCCCCATCATGGTATTCTGCATCACTTCAGGCCCAAGCCATAGAGCCGGGCAGCCATGAACGAAAGCTCTGAAATCCAGAACCCAAATACGTCTTCCTAAACAACTGTTTCTCTCAGGCATTTGTCACAGTGTCAAAAAGTCTAATGTAGGCACACACACACACATACACACACATACACACACATACTTTTCTATCTCCAACTATCTGCAGTGTTTTGTCTGCCATGCCTTGTTCATAACTCCTTCCTGAAGGCAGGTCATAAAAACTCACATCCCCCCTCCCCCCATTTCTGTCTTAGAGATCGAGATGGTCATGAAGAAAACATCTCATCAATCCTTGACCCTCTTCCTCCCAGGGGGCCCGCCCCCTATTCTGGAAGAATGAATGTATCACAGATAAGCCAAGAGGAATCTCAACAGACAGGTCTTGCTGGGTTCCCCATGCAGTCACTTAGCAACCATGCCTACTCAGTGGAGTCCCAGTAAGCACCTGAAAGGATGGGGGTGGGGGGTGGGTGTTGCAGAGCCTGCAGAGAGTGGAGCGTGGAGCAGCTACAGAGGGCGTGGATTCCACACACCTTCTCTCATACTCTACCCTATTTGTCTTTTTATCTGTATCGGTTGTGGTATATATATATATATATATAGTAATAAAGTGTCAAATGTGAGTAAATGTTTTCCAGGGTTCTGCCTTTTGCTGGAGCACAGGACTCAAATCCAGGGATGAGGTAGGTCAAGGGCATCCTGATTCAGGCAGGCGATCAGAAGCAGAGGTATAATAAGCTCAGCTGTGGCAGGCATCTAAGGGGAGCAGGCAGTCTTGGGTTGTTCAAGTCACAAGCATGTGGGACTTGTTGGTGCCCTTGTGTAGACAGTGAAAGGCCTGGATTAGATCAGGGGACCCCCAGCTAGCTGCTTCCTGGCACATAATCACCTGCTTGTTACACAGAGAGATTATATACCATTTGAGGTTCTGTGTCGATTACGGGTATAAGAACAGAGGACTGCGGGCCAGCCATGAGTGGCCACACGCCCTGCAGGGTCTCCATAGCACCACCCAGCAGGAGCAACCACACTAGCACAGTTTCACTGAGCGTTACTTGCAAGCTGCCAAAAGAGCAAAGAGCAACACAGGAAACGTCCTCTTGTTTTCATACATCATTTCTCCGCTCTGATGACTCTCTGAAGGGCGGGGCCTGTCTTCTTGGCTCTAACACTCTGGACACATGACAAGCATGCTTCATGGACATCGACAAGCCACAAGCCACTTTAATCTCATTTACCGGGAGATCATGGTAGATCATCTATAACCAGTGTCACAGGGAGAATAGGCTGAGAAGAAGTGTGAGAAGAATCCTCCGGCCACTGGAGTGAGGACACAGCAGAGGTCACTCTACTATTCCACAACTCTGACCTGCCAGACACTCTCCATAGCTCCCCAGCCAAAGGCGGACACCCCACCCCCAGAAACGGAGTGAAAGAAGAGAATGGGATATTCTTCCCTTACCAACTTCTCTAAATTCTCCCCATTTCAAACTGAATATCGCCTCCACCATGAAGCCTTTTTTGATCTTGACTCATTTTAAATTATAACTCCCATGACCTGATGATTTCTCTCTCTCTCTCTCTCTCTCTCTCTCTCTCTCTCTCTATCTCCTTCCAGCCACGGCGAATGGCTCCAGGGATAGTTGTACCATTCCTGCCGGCCAATCAGAAATTCGATGGATTTTATGTGCCGTTTCCTCTTCCAGAAGTTTCCTTCTCCTGGAAAAACTGTGTGTGTGCTTATATAAGCCATGGCCACGCTCTAGCCCACACTTTTACCTTTCCTGGTTCTTTCTATCCTGCGCCACGCACACCAGTCACGCCCACCCTTCCGGTTATAACCACCGACGCCTGCGCTCTCTGGGGGCGCTCACCTCAAGCTGAGTTTCTGTCACTTGGTACCAAAGAAGTCCTGACTAATGCAGGAAACCAAACGCTTAGATTGCTGTAGGCTTTGGAAAAAGCCTCGAACTTCCTCTTAGCGATTACTTTTGTACTTCTTTTCTTATTTATTTATCCATGTATGTATGTATGCATGAATGCATGCATGTATATATGTATTTTGCGGTAAAGTCTTGCTGTGTAGCCCAGGCTCGCCTCAGACTGGTGATCCTCCTGCCTGAGCCTCCCAAGAGCTGGAGTCATAGGTGTGTGTGAATACTTTAGAAATGCTTTCTTCTGAAGTCCAAGCCACTATGCTTCCCTAGTTGGATGCAAAATATGGACTACTTTCCTCTCGTTTCTTTCTGAGGCCTCAACAACTTCAATGCAGAGATATGAACCCAAGAAGCCAAGGCTTGTCCCTCATGTTATTACGTTACCCATGGGTTCTTCGTGGAAATGACATTATAACTCATTTCACATTTTTTAAAAAATTTCTCAGCTGTTAACTCAGCATCAGAGACATGGTGATCATTACTTTTGTTCATTTGTTTTTTTTATTGTCATTGTTTGGTTTTTTTGCTTGTTTGTTTTTGAGGTGGGGTTTACGGCCCAGGGCGGCCTCCACTCGTCAATTGTCCTGTTTCTATCTCCCCATTATACACACAAACACACACACACACACACACACACACACACACACACACACACACACACGACCCACCATGCATGGCTTCTCACATTGCCTTAAGAAAAAGCCCCGG